GTGATTATTTCTTTTAATTAGCTGCAGCAAAAGGATTTCTTGAAGTTTAAGGCTAGAAGGGACCATTGAACATTGCTTCCTTTGTCTCTTGGAGCATTAAATGCCACCCCTATACTGAACAAAATAACTTGTGTCTGATGAAAGCACGTTTCAGAAAGACAGTTGTTCTCTACTGAAAAATGCTGTTGAGTTTGTATTTTATTACTGGGATTGCAACAATAATTGCCAGTGTGGTAGGAACAGATAAAGGTTGGGGGATGGAAATTTCCAAATTGAAAGGCAAACATGAAGAAGGGAGGTCCCAGAGGAAGAAGGACTAATGGGAGGAGGATAATTAGAGTTAAAAGATTGGGGGGGTGGGGGATGGGTTACTGTCATGCATAATCTCATGAGATTTTGTTTGGTTCTTAGGTACAGGATGCTTGTGAAGGGGCCAAGTTTCTCAGACAACAGCAAAGCTGTATGTGCAGGCTTTCTTCAGACCTATGACAGCAGCAAGAAAGAATGGCAGTTGGGTAAAACCAAGGTACTTCATCAGTGTCGGGTAGGGTATGGCTTTGTTCCAGCTGCAGGGAGATGCGATTGCATCTGGTGAGGTTCAAGCCAGTAGAAAGGGCAAAGTAGTGATCACCCTTTAAATACATTGGACTGTGCCACTGACATGTAGCATCTCAAATATTGCCTGTATTATGTACCTAGAGATGTGGAAGGCTTTTTGATTTTGTCTAAACTCCTTCTCATTGACCAAGCCAGATTGATTTTGTTGTGTCTGATCCAATTTAAGGATCCAAGGAGAACAAGCATGGGTGTCATTGTATGCAATTGCAATGTGTGCCATTAACTCTTGCTTCTTGTGCCAGATATTTTGCTCTGCTTGGCTAACTGAAATTCTTGCAGGAGGCAGTGAGCTGCTGCTTGGTATATATCAAAACTGTGAATAGGTAGCTAGATCACCAGATGTGTGACAGCCTTCTGCTGTGGAAGCTCAGCTGATGGTTTGTGCAGTTAGCCCAGATGCTAGCACACATTTTCTAGGAAAAGGTATCCAAATGCTTCTCCCCACTTGCATAATTCGGATTTTGCTTCTGTTTTGGTGACTGTTTAACACTTCTTTCTTGCCTGGTATAGTCTGGATTTTGGGGGGGAGGGGGAGTTGGTTTTTTTTTCTCCAGACATCCAGCTGGAAATGTACCATTATCTTTCATTTAATGAGGAGGGAGCTGGGTGTTTCAGTCTGAGTTTTTTCAAGCTTTGAGACAGCTTCACACAGAAATCTATGTGAGCGTTGTGAGTATATTGCTGTAGAAATCTGTCTCTAGCACAACTTTCCAGATACTGCAGTGAATTCTTCAAAGAATATTCCAAGATGGATGGTGTCCAGTGCAGACAGCATTTCTAATTAGTGGGTATGCAGTTCATATCCAGAGCAGATAGTGGTCCATCGAAGCAACTTTTCTTGCATTTTTTGCCCTTAAGCCTTCAAAAAAGTAGTTCAGAATATTTCCAGGGTCACAATGGAACTGGAGGTGATTCTAGTAAAAATTCACATTTAATTTGTCCAGCAGATCAAATAATTATATTTGTTGCTTTGAGCAATCATTTCTTAATGAGCGGATAGACTATAATGTTTCTTAGAGAGCGAGATCTCTCCCTTTCTTAGAGTAGTCTGGGCTATGAACTCTATGTGACAATCAAGGAAACCAGTGGCCATTGCTGTGGGAGGCAGATGTGTTAACCTGAAGTTTCTAAGGCCTTCCTTCACATGCCTCCGCTGATGTTCAAGAAAGAATGTTTTATCACTTAGCTGTATTTCCACTCTATGATTAAAGTGTTCCCCATCTCTGATTTGGGAATCTGGTGTCTCCTCACTGGTCCCTGCAAACCAGGAAGCATTTCAGTCATTCTTGTCCCTAGATAACCCACACTGCTGGGGTGGCTGCCAGTCTCACAGCATTTTAGTGTTAAAGCCTGTGTGGAGTGTGTGTGTGTTGCAGAGCTGCTTGTGCCTGGGAAGCTTTAGAAAAGAGGTGGTTAGAGCTGGTAAACGTTGAGTTTTAACTTTCTTCCTAGCATGACAAGAGATGGAAGATTGCTGGGCTACAGGAAGGGCAGCAGGGAAATGCATGCAAGGACCAAACTCACATGCATATACTCACCTTTTAGAGTATAAAAGGTTATAAGCTATATAGCTGGAGTCCAGGGACTACAACAGACTGACGACAAGCAGGAAATCCAGGCTGCTTTGAGCCCTTGGCAGCAATAGGATCCCTTTTCTCTTCAGTCCCCGTTGTGCATCCTGAAGGACTGAGTCAATCTGTGTGTTTTCACTCACTCCTTGACCTGCACGAACAAATTCTTTTGGAAAAACAATATAGGTGGTAAATTGTGGCAAACAAAATGTGTTTGTATTTTGCCAAAAACACTGGATGTACTCATGTAATTTTTTTGAACAATTCTGTCCTATAGACTAAAACTTGGCTGAGGAGCTGTATGCGGCATGTTGGTAAGCAGCATTCTCTCTGCTAGGGCACTGGCTGCTGTCGGGTCTGAATATTGTGGGAAGAAAGAAATGATTAAGAATGGCAGTCTTCGTATCTCTTTATTTCTTTATGACTGAGAAGGAAAATTGAAAGGAGTTGGGAAGCAGTTGAGCCATCTTGTTTGGTTGTAGAAGTTATTTTATATTCGGCATGATTTGGATTAGAGATGTGTGTCCTGGTAGAGGGGAGCAGTTCTGTTTATTCTAAAGAATATATCACTCCGAGGCTGTCCTGGCCTGTTCCACCCTTGCTGCCATGCTGAATGGCTGGCCAGCCCCTGGCTACTCCAAGGCGCTGTCACCATTGCCCTGCCATTTCATTCTTCAGATGGTGGCAAAGCCATTTCATTGTTCCCTTGGAGGCCCCTCTTGCAACTCTGCTTTGTGACAGTGCCTCCAGGAAGCCTGCCCCTAGGAAAGCAGATAGCAGGGCGAGGCCGTGCAGAGCAAGTGGTGCCTCCCGATAGTCCCTTCCCTGCTGCCTGTATCCAGCTGTTGTGTCTTGGTTTTGGATTACAAAGCGCTTTGTCTGCGTTCATGTTTTAGCTGATGCTAGGTAACACAGGCCTGGAAAACTTGGGTCAATGAAAACAAGAGCCCTGATTTTTCCAGAGGCTTTCAGGTAAGGGTGAAGTGAAGCTACCAGCTAAGGGTGTAGGTCATTGTCCTGGAAAGGAAGTCCCCTGTGTGCCCTTGCTGCCACTTTTGCTGCTACAGGTGCAGCTCTGGGTACCCAGGCGGCAATTCCCAGAACTAACCTTGGCTTATGGAGTCAGGAGTAGCTACTGAAAAAGGTGTGACAGGCCAATGGGGATGTAACCTAGGAAGAAGTATAAGGGGTGGGTGAAGAGCAAGGCTTATAGAAGGGGGAATACTTCCTGCAAAATGAATGGAAGGATAATTATATCCCTAGCAATTGTTTGGAGGAGGAAGGAAAAGACTCTGTGAATTAGTGCAAGGGATTGTGAAGCTTGGGAAAGGAAATGGGGGAGGAAGGGCAGGATGATCTTTGTGTTTTTCATTAAGAATAGAGCAGCTGCTGTGCTGGCAATTGTCAAATTAATGTTTATAAGAGGTATTAATGTATATAAGGCAGTTTATTTCTGGTGGCATGGCAGAGATGAGGGCTTGGATGCAAACAAGCAGTGTGATGACGGAAGAGCTTGTGCTAAGGTGCCCTTGTCTTCACTGGGGATGTGCTGGGATGGAGCAGCAGTTTCTGTGCCCCTTTCCTCAGTGCACCTGGACCTTCTGCCATACTTGCCCATACCCACAACACAGATTTCCTAAGGCTGTTTAACACAGTAATTCTTGCTGTTTGAAAGCATTCATTTCCACATTTCAACCTGCTGTTTTGCAGGGCCTGTTTGAAGGAGGAGGTTTCTGTAGACTACTTGGCATCCAGGTCACAGTGACCCACTTCCTGCTTTCTCAGTGCTGTCCCCAGGAATCATATGATCCCACTTACGTACACATGGGTGCACACGCAGTTACATTTGTGTCTGCTGATCTACACGTAACCTTAACATGTTCACTGTTGCACTGACTGTGCATGCAGGCATTGGGGTTGTGTGAGGAGCACTGTGGTGCTGCACTGGGGTTTAAAACTTGGCCAGTGTCTAACAGGAGCAGATATGATAGAAGTAACTTTGTATGTTTTGTTTAATCATTCCTTCCTCAGATGAAAGTGATCTCCTGTTTTCAGAAAGTGACTATGAATTATGACAAAGAAATGGCCACCTTCCAAATTATTTCCACAAGGCATCAAAAATATTTCTGGATTTGAATACATTTTACTCTTCCTTGTCATCTACAGGAGTCTAAAAAAACCCTCAAAATGCCAATAGCTTATAACTAAATATTGTTATGCTATTGGAGATTAACCCCTCACTCTCAAGCGCATATAGAAAACCCTATAGGATTAGGGTTGGGTCTTGTTGAACTCTGCATGCTTCAAAGTTGGGTTCTTTCCCCTTTCTTACTGGCACAGCAAAGTCTGTGCTTGCTAATGAAATACTGGTGGACTGAATATTTTTGCCATTTGATGAAGATAATGGACTGAGACAGTGTTTTGCTGGTTGCATTCTTGAAATGGGTGACTGCTACTTGGTTCTGGAATGTAATGGAAAGAGCAATCCCTGCCTCAAAGAAGTCTTTACAAGATTGTTGAGTTGACAGAGGCAGTGGATGTGCAACTTGCAGGGAAGGATGCCAGCTTCATGGTTGGCAGTACCTTGATAATGAACCTTCTTTTAAGGCTACCCACGGTTACTTAGTCATTACAAAACAGCTCATTTCTTAAGGCCATCTTAATGGAAATGGCTCCCCAGGAGAAATTTGAGTCCAGGGAAGCCACTGGCAATGGGTACTAACCGAGGGAGAGGTTTCAGTGCATGGTGGTCATTGCAGAGGGAAAAAAGAGCCTAAATAAGTGACGAGGCCAAAAGCAGTGATGGAAGGGAAGGCATACAGAGACATAAGGGGAGCTAAGTGGGGAGGGGGAGAGTTTGTGCAGAACACTGGACTAAATGACTGTTCAAATCTCTGAACGTGTCTCTGGCCTCTCAGCATAGCCACATGGATCCAATAAATTTGTAAGGAGTTTCTACTGATTAATGTAGTCCTGCAGATTGATGAGTGTCAGCTCACAGCCTGTGTTCACGGCAGTGCTTTAACAAGTGGGGCAGCGCTTTCCTAGTGTAGTCTGTTCTGCTGCTGGCCCTGGCAGTGATTTAGCCAATGTCAGGCAGCAGGTCACACGAGCACGGCCATATGGCAGTTGCTGCTGTGACTGCAGCTTGTATGGACATACCTTAGCCAACTTTAATCTAGGCTGAGTACTGCTAGCAGTGTACCCACAGCACCGTGGAGCTCCATGCAGGCTGCAGTCCATCTCAAAAAGCAAAGCGTTTATTTCAGCAATTTATGCTGAACTCTGTGCTAACATCATGCAAGCCAGCTGATTTAAAGTAGCTCAGATATGTCATCGCAATTCCTGTAAACATGCCCTTATCTTGCTTGTATCTCAGTCCTTTTGTCTCTAAGATAGCACCGTCATCCCTCACACAGCATTTAGCACTGAGCAGAGGTTTGAAATACAGGTGGTGGAAGATGCTTGAGAATTAAAATACTGGACACTGAAGTGCAATCAGTAATACTTGGCGACCTCTCCCATTGGGGCTCAGTTCCCCCTAATGCATGCTGCATTGCTGAACCTTTTCAGCAAGGAACCATCTCCACCTCAGAGTTTCTGGAGGTTGGTGGAGGGCTTCAGCTTCCACCCAGAGCCGGCGGACTGGGGTATGCTCAGCTTTGCACCTCGACAGGGCTTTTAGCTTTCGACTGTCTTCCATTATTAGGATTGCTGTTAAGATTGCTTCCTGGAGTCTAGAAACCTAAATGTTCCTCCCTTTCCTTGAAATGCGGAGGAGTTTCTTTGCAAAATATTTAATCACCCAAGTAGGTATCAGTGCCTGCTGCAGGGAGGTACTTGATCGT